TGCTAACTTCAGTCGCAAGAACTGCTTGTACCAGTTCCTTCAGTAGAAAGGTTACGAGGTTTTTATTCAAACATATTCACAGTCCCAAAACAAAACAAGCGTCCTCCCCATATCGGACTTAAAATCTCTAAACACATTTACCAAAATTGCAGACTGAATCAACAAGGCCTGTCATTGCTTTCCTCAGACAAGGGGAGTTTCTGGAATCAGTAGATGTACAAGATACCCATCTACACACCCCATTTTCCCTCACATCAACGCTTCCTGCAAGACTAACACTTCTCATTTGTAGTGCTGATATTTGGGCTCTCTGCTGCACCCCGAGTGTTAACAATAGTGCTGGCCCCACTTCTTGAGCTTCTATACACCCAGGACATTCATGTCACAGATTACCTGGACAATCTTCTGCCAACATAGAAAGGGCGATTCAATTCCTTCAAACCCTCCCCTGGTTAATTAATTTTCCAAAGTCTGCCCTCCGGCCCTTACACCTTCTGGAGTACCTGGGCCTAATCTTGGACACAATCCAACATTTTCCTTTCTTCAGAAAAAAATTGCCTCTAGTCTGACATGTGAACCCTCAAATCCAAGAAGCCCCCCTCTAGAACCTCTGAGGGTTCTAGGCATCATGGTAGCCTCCTTCAAGGCCATTTTCTTTGCTCATTTTCACTCCAGGCCACTACAATCCAACATCCTCGTGTTCTGGAACAGACATTCTCTTGTTGGATCTTCTTAATAATCTATACAGCCAGACAAAAATCTCCCCGGCTTGGTGAGTTATCAAATGCCCTGAAAGCAAGGAAGTCATTCCTTCACATACCTTAGAAGGTGGTGACAATGGATGCCAGTCTTCAAGGCTTGGACACATTTTTTGTAACTGTCCAGGAAACCTGGTTCTAAGAGGAGTCAAAATTCCTCACCAACATTATAGAACTTAGAGCCAACACTGGACTCCCATTCTGCAAGGTCTCCCAGTCAGACAATGCCACAGCAGTGGCCTACATAATTCATCAGGGGAACCAGAGGTTTATCTGCTCTAAGATAAGCAACTCAGAGGAAGTTTAGATTCCAGCTCTCTTCCATCCCTATCCCTGACGTGGAAAATTGGCCGACCATATAAATTGCCAACATCCAGACCTGGGAGATTGGTCTCTGCACCCTAAGATCTCACAAAATCTCTGTCAAAGGTGGGGCAACCCAAATGAGAATATCCTGGCCTCCAGGTTCACCAGCAAACTGAATAGATTTGTAGCTACGACCATGGATACTCTGGCCTTTACAGTAGATGCCCTGGTGATTCCTTCAGCTTCATTTAGGCTGATATGTTCCTTCCCTCTGAAAAAGATTCTCCTTTGACTGCTGTGCAAGTGAGAGGAAGGAAGGGCTCCAGTGATGCTAATTGCACCAAATTGTCCCAGAATGGCATGGCCTCTTCCAAGTAGATGTTCTCAGTCAATGACGTGTGTTGATTCTAGGGACCTGATAAAGGACTTTTTTTGCCTGGTCTGAGGACAGGAAGCTGGATCCCCAAGAACACTCTTTGTTCATGTTTTGGCCTTCTTTCTGTCCAGTGTTGACTACCGCTTGGCCTCAAGTAGCCTTAAGGGAAAGCTTTCTGCCTTATACTTTCTTCCCTAGAAACCTTTTGCTTTCGCAATCCTTGATCCAGAATTTTTTTCAAAGAGTTGATCATACAGTATAAATCCATCAGTCCAATCCTGCACCACCTTGGGATCTTTTTTTATCTGGTAAGTCAGACCCTCTTACCCTTTGAGCTGATAAGAGATATTGCCTTGTAGGACCTCACATGTAAATCACCTGTTAGCCATGTATCTGAGCTGGCTGCCTTTTCTTTTAGCCTTTTTCTTGTATTGCAAAGGGTCAAAGTAGTCTTAAAACAAGATCTTCTTTTCCACCCAATGTCAGGGACCATCGCAACGCATGGGTCTGCACAAGCGTAGGTGTCTGTCAAGACATGCAGGCATCAGGGCACTAGGACCCAGGCACACCCGCCGCCTGTGACGGTGCTGGGCACCTAGGCTGCGCCTGTCATGTGCAGGGCGGGCTACTTAAACCAGCCCTGCACAGACACAAGTTGCCGTATGGTCTGATCTTATTCCTGTGTTCCTGTATTCTGTTGCTGAAGATTAGTTGCTGACCTGCCTGGACCTGACCTCTGCTGACTTCTCCTGCTCTGACCCCTGGCTAAGTTTGACCTCTCTTTGGATATCCCTACCTGATCTGAACTACTGGTACCGACCCCGGCGAGTGACCTGACTATTCTTCTGCTTGCTGCCTTGTACTACGCTGACCTCGCTGTTACCGACCTGGCCCGTCTGACCATGCTCATCCGTCCATCCATCCATCACGGATCCAGCCATCCCTGCTTCCGCCATCTGCCTCTTCACGTCAGGCTCTCCACCTGCACAGACCCCCGGCGGAGTCCTCTACCACAGACGGGTGTACTCATGGGCGCGACCTGGTTCCAGTCTGCTCCAAGTCCATCCCCACCATCAGGGGCCCTGGTGAACAAGCAGGCTGGGGCTTAGACTCCGCGCTCTGGGGAATCCTGTCCTGTGGGCTGCTAGAGGTACTGCCAGGCGGTTGCTAACACCTAAGGTGTTCCCTTCTTTCCAGCTCGGTGAGGATATTGACCCCTTTCACACATCAAGGATATTTTCCTACACTGCATGGATGTTGTCTGGGATGTCAGGATCTACATGGCAGTCATGGCTTCTGCCTGCAAGAGTGAATCTCTCTTTGTCTTACTTGGTTCTCACAAGGGACATCCTGCTTTGCCAAGTGGATAGGGCAACTTGTTTCCAGGCCTTTGCCCTCAGGGAAAGTCTTCCTCCTTTCCCTATCAGAGTTCATTTCACTAGGTCTGTTGGTGTCTCTTTCCAGTGTTAGGAGAAGATTGTCACTAGCCCACCGTTGATCTCCAATGTGTGTCCAAAACTTTATTCAGCGATCCCATTGTTACAGCAAGAAAAACATTTTGGACCCCTTCCTCATGCATCAAGCACTTGGTCGCATGCCTGATGAAGGGGTCCTGCAAGGCTCTGAAACATTGCTCTTGCTGTAACAATGTGATCACTGAATAAAGCTCTGGACACTTATTGGAGATCCATGGAGTGCTGGTGACATTCTTCTCTTCTGGCTGTTCTTGGTTCCAGCCTATGGTCGCTGCAGCACCTACTTACATATACAACCATCTCTAACACAGGAACGTTGGAATTGTGCATTGTGTCCTTCCAGTATTAAGTACCTGTATCCCGGACCTGCAAGGCCGCCTCCTTGCTGAAACATTCTCCAGGTTCTACTAGGTGTCTTTTCAAGCCTCAGTTGATATGAACTTTGGACCCAAGGTGCTTTTCTTGTGGGCCTGCCGGTAGTTCTGCTTGCTATGTTGTCTTCCAGGTTATTGATTGGGGACGTCCCATGGTCTAGTACAGGGGTGGGCAAACTTTTTGACTTGAGGGCCGCAATGGGTTCATATATTGGACCCGGGGGCCGGACCAAGAGTAGGTGAATGATGTGTATGTGTCATCCATAGTAAGTATAGTAATATTCCCCCATAGTAAGCATAGTAATTAATCCCCCATATAGTAATTCATCCCCCATATAGTAATTCATCCCCCATAGTAATTCATCCCCCATATAGTAATTCATCCCCCATAGTAATTCATCCCCCATATAGTAATTCATCCCCCATATAGTAATTCATCCCCCATAGTAATTCATCCCCCATATAGTAATTCATCCCCCCTATAGTAATTCATCCCCCCTATAGTAATTCATCCCCCATATAGTAATTCATCCCCCCTATAGTAATTCATCCCCCATATAGTAATTCATCCCCCATATAGTAATTCATCCCCCATATAGTAATTCATCCCCCATATAGTAATTCATCCCCCATATAGTAATTCATCCCCCCTATAGTAATTCATCCCCCATATAGTAATACATCACCCATAGTAATTCATCCCCCATATAGTAATTCATCCCCCATATTAATTCATCCCCCATAGTAATTCATCCCCATATTAATTCATCCCCCATAGTAATTCATCCCCCATAGTAATTCATCCCCCATATAGTAATTCATCCCCCACATAGTAATTCATCCCCCCTATAGTAATTCATCCCCCATATAGTAATTCATCCCCCCTATAGTAATTCATCCCCCATATAGTAATACATCACCCATAGTAATTCATCCCCCCTATAGTAATTCATTCCCCATATAGTAATTCATCCCCATATTAATTCATTCCCCATAGTAATTCATCCCCCATATTAAGTCCCCAAGTCCCCCCTGTGTCAATCCACTTACCTTTGCTCCGTGCGTTCCTCTCGCCGTGTTCCCGCGCCGTCCTGGTGTAGCATGAAAATTTGTCTCCTATGAGGATCTGTCCCCCTCGACGTATCTGCGCATGTGCCAGTTTCAGGCATTAGCAGCCGGTCGGTGATCTCCGGCACATGCGCAGATACGTCGAGGGGGACAGATCCTCATAGGAGACAGATTTTCATGCTACACCGGTCTTCAGGGCGGACTGTGAGAGGAGACTAGCGGGAGCCTAGCTCCGCGGGCCGGATTAAAAGGTCCGCCGGGCCGTAGTTTGCCCATTGCTGGTCTAGTACCATGGACAAGTCCTGTGCTCTGTACAATTATGACAAATATGATTTGCACTGACCTGTAAATGTTTTATTTTGGAGTATGTATAGGACACAGGCCCCTCCCCTCTGGTTTCTGCGGTGTTATATAAGTGTGCATTTTGGGGCAACCCTAACAAGTGTCCAAATAAAGCCCCCATGTAACCCCCGATCTATGTGTTCAGCTCTGTACTCCAAGACAAGCAATTTATAGGTTAATCACAATTTGTTTCGTTTTTTCTACTTTGTGAACCAACAATGTATTTAAATGAATTCATTTACATCAGAATACTCGGGTTCAAAGCTGCTTTATTGGGTATTACAAATTGAATGATTTGTTTTTAGTTTTTGGCAATAATCTGGTCCACCCAGGTCCTGAAACTACTGACACGAGTGTAGACGACAGGGTAGAATAAATTGCAGGATGCGCTGCCCCAGGACACGATACCAGCCAGGTTCCAGGCTCCGTTCCTCAGGCACACGAGGGGTCCACCAGAGTCACCCTGAAAGGAGGAGAACAGACGTCACGGGAGGATTCCCACACAATCAATGTTTCACCTGGAGGCACTTTTGTTGGTCTGAGCCGTGTGCCTCCTAAGGAAATGTTCTATTTTGCTTCCAATACAGCTTTGGTTGATAATCACAGGGACACAAACATGCTAAATTGTGCCCCCCCCCAAAAAAAAAATCCACTCCTGGCATAAATATTTGCCCCCCCTACCTCCTTTCAGGCAGCTCAACTCCTCTCTCTCCACACATCTCTAGCACAAATCCCCCCCTAAAAAAAATCCCCCCTCCTAGCACAAATCCTCTACCCCTCCAATTTCCCCTCTGAGCACAACCCCTCCCCACTCCAAATCCCCCCCTCCCAGCACAAATTCCCCTCCCCCAATCTCGCATGCTAGCACAAATCCCCCCCCAAAGAATTTAAATTCACCTCCTCCTAGCACATTTACCCCCCAATCATCTCTACTAGAACAAATCCCCCCCACCAAAAATAAATTTAAATACATTTCCCCTCTCAGCACAAATCCTCTCCCACCTCTACCATATAACATTTTCTAGCACAACCTTCTCAAAATCCCCCCTCCTAACACAAATCATCTTTACCCCTCCCAAGACAAATCCCCCAAATCAACATTCCTATCAAACCTCTTCAAATTTCCCCCCTAGAACAATTCTTGCCCCTTGACAATCACCAAATTCCCCCCCCCCCCAACACAAATCCCCCTCTCCCAATCCCCCATCCTAGCGAAAATTGCACCCCCCCCCCAAAAAATGTCCCCTCCTCCTAGAACAAATACCTCCAATCATCTTTACTAGCTCAAACCTTCCCCCATAAAAAATGAATGTCCCCTCCTAGCACAAATCCTCTCCCTCCCTTATCATATAACGTTTTCTAGCACAACCTCCCCAAATCCCCCCTCCTAACTAACACAAATCAACTTTCTCCATCCCCCCTCCCAACACAAATTTCCCCAAATCAACACTCCTATCAAATTTACTCCCTAGAACAATTCTTGCCCCGTGCCATTCACCAAATTCCCCATCCTAGCACAAATACCCTCCCCCCCAAAAAAATTCCCCTCCTAGCACAAATATCCCCCAATCATCTCTACTAGATCAAATCCCCCCAATAAAAAATAAATGTCCCCTTCTAGCACAAATTCTCTCCCCCCTCTACCATATAATGTTTTCTCACACAACCTCCCAAATTCCCCCTCCTAGCTACCACAAATCAACTTTCCCTATCCCCCCATATCTACACTCCTATCCAGGGGCGGACTGACCATTGGGCCCGAGGGCCCGGGGTCAGTAAGGGGCCCCATGAGATGCCCCTGGTACCTTTTTCATAGGCTTTTTTGAGTTTGGGCAAGGACACTGGGGCCCCATGATCCCCTATTGCCCGGGGGCCCCATGAGTTGTCAGTCCGCCCCTGCTCCTATCAAACCTCCTCAAATTTCCCCCCTAGAACAATTCTTGCCCCTTGCTGTTCACCAAATTCCCCCTCCCAACGCAAATCCCCTCCCCCAGTACCCCATCCTAGCACAAATTCCCCCCTTCCACAAAAAAAAACCCTCCTGCTAGCACAAATACCCCCCAATCATCTCTACTAGCTCAAATTTCCCCCCAATAAAAAATTTTCGCCTCCTAGCACAAAACCCCCCCCCCCCATATAACCTTCTTCCCCCCTCCTAACACAAATCAATCCCCCCTCACAACACAAACCCCCCCAAAATAACACTTCTAGCAAACCTCCTCAAGTTTTCCTTCTAGAACAATTCTTGCTCCTTGCCGTTCACCAAATTCCCCCTCTTAACACAAATCCACCCCCCCCATCATCTTGTGGCGCCTACCCTTACTTTGTATGATACCACAGTGCCCAGGGCAGCCGCCCCTCCGGCCCACCCCTTGTCCCGGCCCCAAGTGAGCGATAAATGAGTGAAAGCCAGACTACAGGCACTTCAAATGTTTACGGAATCAGAAAAATGTGTGATGCGTCCCTTTTGGAGACTTTCTAACAGGAGACATTGGAATGGAGCACATGGAACTCTTCAACATCTGAATGGAACTTAAATGCTAAAGAGGTTCTTCAGTCTTTTTTTTTAAATTATTTCCTTTAACAAACGTCAGCAGCTACAAATACTGTACTGTCTGTGGACACTTACCTGTCCCAGGATCCAGCACTGTCCTCACCTGGGCCTGTTCTGTGTCGGTCTTCCAGTCCCCAGCATTACCATGCTAACTGTCAGAGTGACACTTCTCTGCACTGCACCCTGTGAATGGTCCTGCAGCCTTCTGGGACCTGCGACATGTCCCAGGAGGTTTAAGGTAGGGAGGGGCAAAAACTCCTGGTTGGATCGCCTTGGGGATTCCAGTGGAAGTGGGAGTGAGTACCTACTAAAAATAGGTACTCGGCTCCTGCTCTCCCCCCCCAAAAAAAAATCACAAAAGTGCTAGAGGGGGAGGAAAAGCATCAGCGGAACCTCCTTTTTCCACTTTAACATTTGCAGAAATGTATCCAAATTTTTTAGAAATTTAGAAGATGGGAAGATCAATTTTTGCACCCACCCCTGAAACCTGGATGCTGTCCATACAGAGGATACTGGCCTCAGCTCCAATTCTGATCTAAGCCCCACCCACTAGGTCCTCACAATTCAGTAGTCCCGGGCCAGGTCCTTAGATGGAAATAGATTCTCGCTCTGGGCATTGGATGACCTTGTCCCTGTACTGTTTATACTGTATATTGCAGAGAAAACTTCAGTCTCATCGAGGAGCTGCCATGGAGATCTGTGGTCCTATGGACTTTTCAGTATAATCCTACACCCCCCACAGCACCTTCACATAATTATGCTATAGCTTAGCTGTATTTCTACCTGCGCCATTCTCAATAATTCCCTGTGATGTAAAAATGTTATTATTTGTTAAAATGTTATTTTTTAAAGTTATTAAATGTAAAAATAAATTAAAGCAAACTGGAGAAAAGCAAATATTTTTTCCCATTAAATTTTATTATAGATTTCCTTTAGTAATAACGTATATATTGGTTTGTAGAGATAACGCACTCTTTCAAATATGGATTTTGAGGGAAACCCATGGCAAAATTTTAAAAAATGGCGTGGGTCCCACCCAAAATCTATATCAGGCCCTTCAGGTCTGGTGTGGATTTTGAGGGGAACCCCATGGCAAAAATAAAGAAAAAATGCAAAATGGCATGGGTCCCACCCAAAATCCATAGCTTTCCCTGGGGCAAACTAAATAAAATATGGCGCGGGACCTCCCCCCCTCCCCAAAATCCATAGCAGGCCCTTCAGGTCTGGTATGGATTTTGAGGGAACCCCATGGCAAAAGAAATAGGTGTGGGACCTCCTCAAAATCTATATCAGGCCCTTTAGGTCTGGTATGGATTTTGAGGGAAACCCACGGCAAAAAAAAAAAAATGGCGTGGGTCCCACCCAAAATCCATAGCTTTCCCTGGGGCAAACTAAATAAAATATGGCGTCGGGACCTCCCCCCCCTCCCCAAAATCCATAGCAGGCCCTTCAGGTCTGGTATGGATTTTGAGGGGAACCCCATGGCAAAAGAAATAGGTGTGGGACCTCCTCAAAATCTATATCAGGCCCTTTAGGTCTGGTATGGATTTTGAGGGAAACCCACGGCAAAAAAAAAAAAATGGCGTGGGTCCCACCCAAAATCCATAACAGAGTCTTCAGGTCGGGTATGGATTTTGAGGGGATCCCCTACAGCAAAATAAAAAAATGTCGTGGGACCCCCCCCCCCCCCTCAAATCCATACCAGGCCCTTCAGGTCTGTTATGGATTTTGAAGGGAACCCCATGGCAAAATAATTTAAAAAATGGCGTGAGTCCCACTCAAAATCCATACCAGACCCTTATCCAAGCATGCAGCTCAAGCATTTTGTTTACATTCTGCTGTCATTAGGGAACCCCGCTGACACGAGTCAACATATATTGGTTTGTAGAGATACCAACGCACTCTTTCAAATAGCTGAACCAGATGGGCATGGACCCCTTAGCCATGGATTTGGTTCACCGGTAAAATAATTTAGGCTAATGCTAGAAATGCAAAGGTTACTTTACCATGCAGCTGGAGACATTAGAGGCCCCGGCACAGATCATGGAGGCCTGAACTTTGGACCCCCAGGCTCTCTGGCAATCAGCGTTGCTCACGATGGGAAGAGTTGCCTGCTGGAGCTTAGCTGGGAGGGTTTTTGCTGAAAGAGAGAGAAGGAAGAATTTTTAATACATTACAAATTTGAACACCCCCGATGTCTCACCAGAATCCCAACGCCCCGGCCTGACTCACTCATTGCACAGTCAAAGGTTGAAAGCCCAACGACACAAAACTAGATAAACAGCTCAAAAAGTATGTGTTGATTATTTAATGGTTACCCCTGTTCCTGCCACCTTTGGGAAAACTGACCATAGATTAGATTACTTGAGCTCAACAATCATCAGTATTTGTGTCTTCATATACAGTGGGGATGGAAAGTTTGGGCACCCCAGCTAAAAATTTGTATTAATGTGCATAAAGAAGCCAAGGAAAGATGGAAAAATCTCCAAAAGGCATCAAATTACAGATTAGACATTCTTATAATATGTCAACAAAAGTTAGATTTTTTATTTCCATCATTTACACTTTCAAAATAACAGAAAACAAAAAAATGGCGTCTGCAAAAGTTTGGGCCCCCTGCAGAATTTATAGCATGCACTGCCCCCTTTGCCAAGCTGAGACCTGCCAGTGTCATGGATTGTTCTCAATCATCGTCTGGGAAGACCAGGTGATGTCAATCTCAAAGGTTTTAAATGCCCAGACTCATCTGACCTTGCCCCAACAATCAGCACCATGGGTTCTTCTAAGCAGTTGTCTAGAAAACTGAAACTGAAAATAGTTGACGCTCACAAAGCTGGAGAAGGCTATAAGAAGATAGCAAAGCGTTTTCAGATGTCAATATCCTCTGTTCGGAATGTCATTAAGAAATGGCAGTCATCAGGAACAGTGGAAGTCAAAGCAAGATCTGGAAGACCAAGAAAAATATCAGACAGAACAGCTCGCAGGATTGTGAGAAAAACAATTCAAAACCCACGTTTGACGGCACGATCCCTCCAGAAAGATCTGGCAGACACTGGAGTTGTGGTCACTATTCCACTATAAAAGAGATACTTGTACAAATATGGTCTTCATGGAAGAGTCATCAGAAGAAAACCTCTTCTACGTCCTCACCACAAAAATCATCGTTTGAACTTTGCAAATGAACATATAGACAAGCCTGATGCATTTTGGAAACAAGTTCTGTGGACCGATGAGGTTAAAATTGAACTTTTTGGCAGGAATGAGCAAAGGTACGTTTGGAGAAGAAGGGGCACAGAATTGAATGAAAAGAACCTCTGTCCAACTGTGAAGCATGGGGTTGGATCAATCATGCTTTGGGGTTGTGTTGCAGCCAGTGGCACAGGGAACATCTCACAGTAGAAGGAAAAATGGATTCAATACAATTTCAGCAAATTTTGGATGGTAACTTGATGCCATCTGTGAAAAAGCTGAAGTTAAAGAGAGGATGGCTTCTACAAATGGATAATGATCCTAAACACACCTGGAAATCCACGGGGGATTACATCAAGAGGCGTAAACTGAAGGTTTTGCCATGGCCTTCACAATCTCCTGACCTCAACATCATTGAAAATCTATGGATAGACCTTAAAAGAGCCGTGCGTGACAGACAGCCCAGAAATCTCAAAGAACTGGAAGACTTTTGTAAGGAAGAATGGGCAAAGATACCTCAAACAAGAATTGAAAGACTCTTGGCTGGCTACAAAAAGCGTTTTACAAGCTGTGATACTGCCAAAGGGGGCAGTACAAGATATTAACTCTGCAGGGGGCCCAAACTTTTGCAGACGCCATTTTTTTGTTTTCTGTTATTTGAAAGTGTAAATGATGGAAATAAAATCTAACTTTTGTTGACATATTATAAGAATGTCTAATCTGGAATTTGATGCCTTTTGGAGATTTTTCCATCTTTCCTTGGCTTCTTTATGCACATTAATACACATTTTTAGCTGGGGTGCCCAAACTTTCGATCCCCACTGTGTATATATATATATATATATATATACAGGCGGACCTCACCTTACATATATATATATACACACCATGTTCTCTCTTTAGTTGTTCTAATGAGCTAAAATAGGGATTCTGATGGCTTTATTCTTAGTTGTTTTGTTTGTTTGTTTTGCAGAATGTCTGCAGTAATCCCCTTACTGGCAGCATTGGTGTATCCCCATCCGGAGGTGATGCACAATTCTCCTCCATTGAAGACATCAGAGGAAGCAGCAAGACACACGGGAGACACGCGGATGTTGAAGGTGGCGGGTGTGGCCAGCTTGATCAAGGTGATGTCATTGACGAAGGTCTGGGAGTTGTAACTGGAGCTGAAGACCTGAGAAAAGTTATGCTGGAATTAAATTACTGGAAACGTAGCCGAATCCAACAAGGTGACCCCATCCAGCCTTCATACAAACAGCGTGTTCCGTTATCTGTTTTTGTTTATAATTCTATCCATCATAGTAGATGGGCTCATGGAAGCAGATTACGTGGGATATTTAAGTGATCTGACACATTCTTCCTAAATATCGCATGCAATGCAAAAAATACTATTCCCTTGTACAGTATTTACCTCAAAAAGCAAAAACACTCAATAAATACTGCATAAAATAAATCAATTTACTAGAGCAGGGGTCTCCAAACTTTCTAGGGGGGCCGGACTGCGGCCAGTGGGAGTAGAAAATGCCCCATCATTGGTTTTAAGGGGAGGAATAGTGCCCTATGGTCGATATCAACGTGAAGAACAGTGACCCATTGATGGTGTCAGTAGGGGGAATGGTGCTCCATCATTGGTTTCAGTTATGAGATAGTGCCCCAAGGACCAGATAAAGGCAAGCAAAGGACCACATCCAGCCCTCGGGCCACAGCTTGAAGACCACTGCACTAGAGGAAATAAATAAATTTGGTAAATAAATAGTGGTCCAGCGTGCGGTAGTTAAGGACTGTGTTTGAGCTGGTGGCTGCTGGCATCCTTAACAAACCAGTTAATATCATGGTTGCTAAGGAGAGGGTGTCCACTGCATCCTTAACAACCATGACTTATCTTTATCTGAGCATGCAGCGTTTGTTTACATTCTACTGTCAGTAGGGAACCCAGCTGACAGCAGATAAGTCATGGTTGTTAAGGATGCAGCTCCTTAACAACCATGAAATCTACTGGCTGTTAAGGACACCAGCGGCTGCAAGGCTCCTTAACAACCAGTTATCCACTAGTTGTTAAGGACACCAGCGGCCACCGGCTCCTTAACAACCAACTATACACTGGTTGTTAGGGACACCACCGGCTGCCTGCTCCTTAACAACCAGCCATTCACTGGTTGTTAAGGTCACCAGCGGTCGACGGCTCCTTAACAACCAACTATACACTGGTTGTTAGGGACAACATCGGCTGCCTGCTCCTTAACAACCAGCCATTCACTGGTTGTTAAGGTCACCAGCGGTCAACGGCTCCTTAACAACCAGTTATTCACTGGATCCTAAGAACACCAGCGGCCATTGGCTCCTTAACAACCGGCTATTCACTGGTTTTTAAGGACACCAGAGGCTGCCTGCTCCTTAACAACCAGTTATTCACTGCAGTTCGTAAGGCGGTACAGACCGCTTTGTGAATGAAGCCCATTATCTCTTTGTTTAAAAAGTGCTTACCTTGCTGATACTCTTGGTCTGGATTTGCTCAGATGTGGAGGAGCGGTCAAATGCACCCAGGACCACACGGTGGGCAGTCCTTAATGGAAGAGAAAAATGGTCATTAGTTGCCATAAGGCTTGAGTTGATATTTTGGACACAGCTTTGAAACGGAAAACATACAAGAACATTTTTGGTTGCATACATTCACTATGGATATCTTTCCTAATATTGGATACGTAGTTCGTCCAAATGCCAGACTTTTGTGCATGTTCAGCAGGAGCCGAACATCACGTCTCATAGCGGTGCTTCTGCTGTTACTATGGATTACAGCTTGCTTCTTGCCAGTCGTTGTTCAAGAAATGGCAGGTGCCGATGACCAACTACAGCCACATGGCCATATGTGTGGGTGAGGACATCACTGGGGAGACCCTGATCCTTTCTGTACATTTAGCAGCGGTGCCAGGGAGATGCCATTCAGCACAAGGAAGTAATGAGAGTGGGCAAGTCGGCGGGCTTGGCCCATTGTGATTGATGTGGATCTGCATTGCTGGACATTGTGAAAGATGATGGACTTACCTTGTGGGACTCTAAATAAATGGCTCTATATTTAGGATGTATCCAGTCTATAAACCAGAGGTTCTGGGTGTACAGTTGGATAAATGGCTCTATATTTAGGATGTATCCGGTCTATAAACCAGAGGCTCTGGGTGTACAGTTGGATAAAATGGCTCTATATTTAGGATGTATCCGGTCTATAAACCAGACGGTTGGCTCTATTATTTATGGATGGAGGCTCTGGAATGGACGGTTGGATAAATGGCTCTAT